TCTAGTACAGAACATTAAGAACATTTCTTTGTCTAGTACAGAACATTAAGAACATTTCTTTGTCTAGTACAGACATTGTTTGTCTAGTACAGAACATTCTTTGTCTAGTACAGAACATTAAGAACATTTCTTTGTCTAGTACAGACATTCTTTGTCTAGTACAGAACATTCTTTGTCTAGTACAGAACATTCTTTGTCTAGTACAGAACATTAAGAACATTTCTTTGTCTCGTACAGAACATTATTAAGAAAAATAAAAAGAACAAAGACTGCCCTTTGGTTATGTAGAAGGGCTTAGGCAGAGAGAGGGGAATACGAGAATTGGGAACTTGACTTCCTGACTGTTTGCCTTCTTTTTAGATCAAATGATTGATAAAACAAAGGTGGAGAAATCTGAAGCCAAAGCTACAGAGCTGGAAAAAAAGGTATGTATGAGAGATCAAAAATAATTGGAATATATCTTTCTTTATCTAAGGATTTTGATTTTTCTGACATGTGAAACAGTTACCTGTGATATATTCAGTGTTTAGCACACAGTAACAGTTCCTAGGGGAACCCTTTCTGCTGTAGGTTACTCAGTGGAGAAAGTGGTGTGGATGTGATCATGAGGAGCTAGTCAGTCGTGAGTTTGCACAGTTCTTGGGCCCCTGAGCAGGAGGAAAGACAGGTGACACTCTCATATAACATTGACAGCACTTGGGTTTGCTTGGCGACTCAGGCCTTTTATCCATAGAACAACAGGAACTGGAATATGTCTGAATTCTCTTTTTCTCTTTGATTAAGGACTCCTATTGTTTTTGTTTTTTTAATTTTTTTTTTTTTTTTTTTTGCGGTACATGGGCCTCTCACTGTTGTGGCCTCTCCCGTTGCAGAGCACAGCCTCCAGATGCGCAGGCTCAGCGGCCATGGCTCACGGGCCCAGCCGCTTCGCGGCACGTGGGATCTTCCCAGACCGGGGCACGAACCCATGTCCCCGGCACTGGCAGGCGGACTCTCAACCACTGCGCCACCAGGGAAGCCCAAGGACTCCTATTGTTGATAGGTTTTTGATCCTTGAGAATACTGGGATTGTGCACCTTAGCTGTCCTGGTTAAATGTCTTTAAAATCTTAGTTGTTGCTGTTTTTAAAAATAACTCCAAGTATAGATAGACTATGGAAATAATCCCTGGCTTCCCCCTCCTTTAACCTTGATTTTAAGGTTGAAATCATGGTGACCTTTTTTCCAGGCATCCCTTGGGTCAGTGAGCTCAATGGATCAAGGATTAGCACAAAACAGTAAATTATGGGGACTAACACCTGGCCTTTGCTGAGTTGGAGAGCTTACTGGGAGCCTGATTTCTTTCTCCTCTAGCTGGACTCAGAGTTAACAGCTCGACATGAGCTACAGGTGGAAATGAAAAAGATGGAAAGTGACTTTGAGCAGAAGCTCCAGGATCTTCAGGGAGAAAAGGATGCATTGGGTTCTGAAAAGGAAAAAATTGCCACAGAGAAACAGAACCTGGAAGCAGAAGTGTCTCAGCTCACAGGAGAGGTAATATCTGAACAGAGAAGGCAGAGTGACCTGTAACTGCCATCAGCAGCCTCAGAGTGAGCTTGTGTTGGAGCGGGACTGTCACCTTACTCCCAGGGAGGGTTCAGATACTAATAGGTAATCTAGTTAGATGGCACATATTTTTAAAATCATAAGCTGTTTTGTTTTGGAAGTAAGTAATACATAGATGGAAAATTTGGAAAATACAGAACAACACAAAGAATAGATGAGTCACAGTACTACCCAGAAATAAAGATAATAGCCTTCTAATAAATTTAGGAGTAAATACTAAATAAACTGTTCTCATATTTGCTATTTTTCTCTTATTTTAGTCATCTCTGGACAGATTTATGCCCACACACTCTCTGCAGTTATAGATATTTATATGATCTGTGATACTTGATAACTTGATCACCTAGGTGGTTATATAATTACCTGTATAGCACATATGTTAATTACATACCTAGAATATTTGATTTACTTGATCTTTGCATTTTCTTTCTTTTTTAAAAAATTAATTTATTTTATTTTTGGCTGCATTGGGTCTTTGTTGCTGCGCGCGGGCTTTCTCTAGTTGCGGTGAGCAGGGGCTACTCTTCGTTGCTGTGTGCAGGCTTCTCGTTGTGGTAGCTTCTCTTGTTGTGGAGCACGGGCTCTAGGCATGTGGGCTTCAGTAGTTGCAGCACGCAGGCTCAGTAATTGTGGCTCGCAGGCTCTAGAGCTCAGGCTCAGTAGTTGTAGTGCACAGGCTTAGTTGCTCCGCGGCATGTGGGATCTTCCCGGACCAGGGATTGAACCTGTGTCCACTGCGTTGGCAGGCAGATTCTTAACCACTGCGCCACCAGGGAAGTCCCGATCTTTGCGTTTTCTAATCAAAGGGAGAGTTTAACATAAACTTTGAAGTTGCCATTTTAATGCAAAGCATACTGAACTAGGAACATGAAGACCTGAATTCTAGTTTTGTCTCTGTCACTAAATAGCTATGTGACTTTAGGTGGAGCCTTTCAACTGTCTGACTCCTTTCACTCCCTTCATGTGTAAAGTGAGAAGTTTGGATTAAGTAACTTCTTGGGTCCTTTCCAGCCCCAGTGGTCCCTGACGTGGAGTGAGAAGTACTCCCATTGGTGTTATTTCTTTAGGTTGCCAAGCTGTCCAAGGAACTGGAAGATGCCAAGAAAGAAGTGGCTTCACTCTCCACTGCAGTTACTGCTGCAGCCCCTCCTAGCAGTGCTACTTTTCCCCCTGCCCCTCCTTTACCTGGTGACTCTGGGCCTGTCAGTCCCCCCTCACCCCCTTTACCAGGAGAGGTTAGCACAGCCTCTGCACCCCCTCTTCCTGGGGGTCGGGCCATTCCTCCTCCACCACCTCCTCCTCCTCCTCTGCCTGGGGGTGCCTACATCCCCCCACCCCCTCCTCTGCCTGGGGGTACCTGCATCCCCCCACCTCCCCCTTTGCCTGGGGGTGCCTACGTCCCCCCACCCCCTCCTCTGCCTGGGGGTGCCAGCATCCCCCCACCCCCTCCTCTGCCTGGGGGTGTTGGCATCCCCCCACCTCCCCCTTTGCCTGGGGGTGTTGGCATCCCCCCACCTCCGCCTTTGCCTGGGGGTGTTGGCATCCCCCCACCTCCGCCTTTGCCTGGGGGTGTTGGCATCCCCCCACCTCCTCCTCCCTTGCCTGGAGGACCAGGAATGCTACCTCCCCCTCCCCCTCTTCCTGGTGGAATCCCTCCACCCCCTCCATTTCCTGGAGGCCCTGGTATTCCTCCACCTCTCCCTTTTGGAGTTCCTGCAGCCCCAGTTCTGCCATTTGGATTAACCCCAAAGAAACTTTACAAGCCAGAGGTACAGCTCCGGAGGCCAAACTGGTCCAAGGTGAGAATTTCTGTCCATCTCTTCATCAGTAGATTTTAAGAGACCACTTCAGTTTCCTACTTTGTGTTTTGTGCATGGTTGGGCTTCCCTTTCTTATGGCTCACATCTGTCTGTCTTCAAGTTTCACTCATGTGTATGTTTATTCAGCAGATAATAGGCAAATCCTATACGCTGGATATCACTCGGGAGAGTTCTTCGAGCCCTATACTCTGCTACAAAACCTAAACTTATCCTTAAGTTAATATTTTTGCCCTTTTCTCTGAGGATATGAGTGCCATGGGATACCACACAGTTTGATAATAGTCATTTCACCAATCTGCAAGGTACTGATAAATTTTGCTGATCCAAAAGTCATGGATTTATGGATACAACTCCCTACCACTCCCACCCACCCCTACCCCGGTAAATAAGTTACACAGGATATGTTTGCATGGCACAGTGTGTGTTTGAGAGCGCTGTGATTCTGCATCAGCCTTTTGCTTCTGGAAACCAAGGTAAAATAAAGGAGCTTAGGGATTTGTTCATATAAAGTGAACAAATTTGGTACAGTTCACCACCCTGATGGGAAAAGTGTAATGTAGAGCAAGGGAAGATGTGAAATAAAGCCTTAATGCTTCTAAAAGTAGAGGATTTGGGGTTAGAAGGAGGATAAGCAGCATAACTGATTCTAGTTGTTGAATAATCACCGATAAACACATAACCTGGAATCATCGTCTCCTGGTCCCACCACAAAGAGCATAGCTGTTCTCTGTGTCTCAGGTTAGTCTTATTTTAGTATGATGTTGACAGTAACCAGCCAGCTGCTTCTTTTGCATCTTAATCAGTTTTCTAGGATGGAAAGTACAGAGCTCAGTTTAGTAACTCTTAACACCTGCCTGTATCCACAGTTTGTCGCTGAGGACCTTTCCCAAGACTGCTTCTGGACAAAGGTGAAGGAGGACCGATTTGAGAACAATGAACTTTTCGCCAAACTTACCCTTACCTTTTCTGCCCAGACCAAGAGTGAGTCCTTTCCTCTTTCATGCAAAGGGCCAGTGTAGGACTTAGAACATTTGTTAAGGGGATCTCCCATTTCTTTCCTTTCCCTGGGTGAGGGTTGAAGAGAGCTGGGAGTTCCTATTCAGAAGAAAATAAGCTGGTTTTGTATTCTGGGGATGCTGGAGTTGGCAAAGAGAACTGTTGCGTGTACGTATTTTTCCCCCCAGTTTTTTTGCATGTAGGTATTTTACATGCATGTAGGTATTTTACACAAGTGTAACTTGTGGGGATATGAGGTTAATGTGACAGAGCTCAGGCTGGTCTGAGAGTATCATTTTGATGATACTCTTGAATGGATTCTGGCACTGCCTTTAAGGCGCCTTCTTTAGACCTACATATGTAATTGGTAAGAGCTGAGCAGAGTCTTTAGTAGGTGAGGTGGCTGAACAACTGTGTTTGTAAAATAACAAAGAACCATATGTGATCCCTTTTCTTTTTTCCATTTCTTTCCAATATCTGATGCTTTCTCCTTCCTGGCACTTTGCTCCTGCAGCTTCAAAAGGTAAGAATACAGAAGAGCCTTGTAGTTGGGTCTCTTGAATATTAGAGAAAAAAAAATGAAACAGATGTAAAGGGATTTCTCTTTAGAAAACTAAGACTAGAAATTGGGGATTGATTTCTCTTTTGCTAGGTTTTTCTTGAGAGTCCAGAAGGACCAGTAGCTCTGATGTTAGCTGACAGGGAAGAAAATTATTTTAAGTTGAAGCTACAATATACTTGCTCTTTCTTTAGAAGGTGAGGGACAACTTAAATAATACTGTTACTTTACATTTGTGTTGTATTTTACAAATTTCAAAGTGCTTTAACATATTCTACCCTATTAGGACTGCAAAGAAACCTTATGAGGTAGGTTGGGTGTATATTATCTCCGTTCCATAGCTTACATAGCCTTATTAGTTAGGTAGCTTGCCCGAGGTTTTATATGGCCAGATCCAGGGGTCTTGACTTCTGGTCTGTCTTTTCATATAAATTCTTGCTTTTCTTTTTCACCTTCATATCTTCCCCTTTATTTTAGAAGAGCTGATCTATTTTGCCCTTTTCTTTCTTCACTTCCTAATTCTTGTGGTTTCGTGCTGTCTTGTGATGGGACACTTACAGTTATTTCCCCAGAGGGATGCAGTATTTGCAAGATATTGTCATGTACCTAATGACAGTTATAACCTAATAATTTTGTATTTCCATCTTCTTCCAGCTTTTTTGTTTATTTAGAGGTTTATTATGACCCTAGTGATGACAATTAAGTGCAACTTCAGAGCACTCCTCCCTCCCCCTGCCAGTAAATAAGCATTTTTTAAAGGCAGTTACTACTTTTTTCCTTAAGTGATCTGATGGGACTAGGCTGCACTTCATTCTAATAAGATACCTAACAGAGGGAGTTTTCTGGTGGCCTAGTGGTTAGGATTCGGTGTTTTCACTGCAGAGGCCCGGGTTTCATCCCTAGTCAGGGAATCATCCCGCATGCTGCATGGCATGACACAGCCAAAATACAAAAAAAAAAGAAAGAAAGAAAGAAAGAAAAGAAACCTGTGCCTCTGGCAGCCCCTAGTTACACATATGTATCTAGGAGTCAAAGATCACAGTGCTCAGGCCTGCCCTGTTGCCCTAGCATTCTGGGCAAAGTTGCCTTTTCCTCTAAGAGATATATCACCTTCTGAACTAAAGTTCAGCTCGGAGAATTACTTCTGCCTGCTATTAAAAATGCTGTGATAATGACCACTTATACTACTCTAGAATATCAGCAAAGACTAGTTGACAATCAAAATCAAATTTGTAAGTTCACAGAATACATCCCTGTGTTGGCCTCTGGTGTCATTTTCTTTCTGGTGGCTGCATTCTGAGTGCCACTGCAAACGTACACTGACTCGGTCCCTTTTCCTGCCTGCTCTGTCACCATCCTTCTTTTATCCTGTACATTTGTATTGCTGTTGATTGCAGTGGAGTTTTCTGCAGTTTAGTGGTTTGCCTCGGCATTTTATTCCCACTGTGAATTGGTATGTAGTGTGTGTGTATGTATATTTTTTTTTTTTTTTTTTTTTTGGCTGCGTTGGGTCTTCATTGCTGTGCAAGGGCTTTTCTCTCTAGTTGTGGCGAGCAGCATCCACTCTTCATTGCGGTGTTCGGGCTTCTCATTGCGGTGGCTTCTCATTGCGGAGCACGGGCTTTAGGCGTGCGGGCTTCAGTAGTTGTGATTTGCGGGCTCTAGAGCACAGGCTCAGTAGTTGTGGCACCCGGGCTTAGTTGCTCTGTGGCATGTGAGATCTTCCCAGACCAGGGCTTGAACCCATGTCCCCTGCATTGGCAGGCAGATTCTTAACCAATGCGCCACCAGGGAAGTCCTGGTATGTAGTGTTTTTTTTTTTTTTATTAATTAATTAATTTTTGCCTGTGTTGGGTCTTCGTTTCTGTGCGAGGGCTTTCACTAGCTGCGGCGAGCGGGGGCCACTCTTCATCGCGGTGCGCGGGCCTCTCACTGTCGTGGCCTCTCTTGTTGCGGAGCACAGGCTCCAGACGCGCAGGCTCAGTAGTTGTGGCTCACAGGCCCAGTTGCTCCGCGGCATGTGGGATCTTCCCAGACCAGGGCTCAAACCCGTGTCCCCTGCATTGGCAGGCAGATTCTCAACCACTGCGCCACCAGAGAAGCCCTGTAGTATTTTTTAAATACCTAAGCAAGACCTTATCTCATCGTTTGTTATTTTCAACAGTGTAACCAAACTTTTTAATGTTCTTTTAGCCTTCAACTTCTGCCCTGGAAACTATTTTCTGTTCATTGATGATTCTAACTTCCTGACAGCTTTGGCTCCCGCCCCCGCCCCTTAAATTATTCTTAGAAATCTCTGTATCTTAATCTGAAAGGAATAAGTATGAATTAGTCAATTTAGTTTAGTGTCAGTATTGATTTTCATGTAATAATAATCATCATTAGTAGTTTGCTGCTACTTTGACGAAGGACATTTCTAGCTAGTCTTTAAATATCTTTACTTTAGTTAGCACTTTCAGGTGTTAAATTGGCACCCTGCCTTAATTTCCCAGTCTTTTTATTAGGAAGCACTAGAGAAGGTGTTCTTGAAAATTATTAAATCATGAACAATTTTCCAAACATCCTAAATCTTACTCATTTAAAACAATTCCTGGGATAGATTTTTTGTTTTCCTATCAAACAAGTACTTATGGTTTACCCAACTCTAACAGTTATCACATGCAACGAAACCTTCCTGCTTGTCATCAACCACACTACATCTGTATGTTTCCAGTCATCTTCTCCCAAGAAACAAATGCTGCTCCCTTTAAAAATTATTTCTTCCTTGCATTTTCAGTGTTTTACTGACTTTAATGTTTGGTTTATTTTTTTCTTCTACATTTTCTTGCTTTCTTTTCCTTTGAGTTACTCTGCAAGTCTATAGTGATGCAAGCAGTATTTGAATGTCAGGGCTTGTTCTAGTGTGTATTTCTTGGTGACAGAACAGTTGCTTTGACATCGTGTACATGGGCATCAAGTAGCAGATGGAGGTGCTGCATGTGGACCCAGTGCCACAGTACCCACCGTGATCAGGGTAACTCATCTGCTCTGCCTTTTCTGATGCAGTTTTGAGCCTCCCTCTCTTGGTGCTCTGGTTGACAGACTTAATACAGACTCCTCCCAAGTAGCCCCTTTCTTTCAACATGGCCCCCCAAAAACACTTTAGTAAAAAAGACTTTAGGCTTCTAGAGTTTAGGTTTTTATCAGGTAAGGAATTTCAAGCTAAGAAAACTTCAGAGGTGAGGACTCAGAGGATCTAGAGCTCCTCAGTATGAAGGCAAGGTTTACTTTGCTTTTGGTGCTTTGAACATCTCTAGTATAACATTTCAGAATACCTTCATTCTTAATCCTTTTTTCGAGTAGGTAACCAGTTTCAGTTACCAAGTCTCTCATTCATAGCCTTAATATTGATGGTATAATTAAATGATAGATAAATACTCATTGCCACTCTATAACTATTTCATCTTCCAGATGAAGTAGAGATATGGGTTAAATAATTTTTTCAAGGCCTTATAGTAAGTGCCAGAGGCAGGATTCAGACTCCAGAGTGTGACTCCAAAGTCCTGCTCTAACCCCCTGCTTCCCAGATGTGTATGTCCCTGCCCTAAGAGCTTCTGAAAGCTTAGATCCAGACAGAAGCTTGAAGGAGATATGCTGGCTTCTGCTACCACCTCATTCATTCTGTCACAAATATTCTTAAATTGGAAGTGACTCTTATGAGTACAAAAAAGGAACAACATTAGATTAGGGAAAGTAAGATACCAGATATTTAGGGTTGAAGAAGAGAAGCCATGTTCTGATTACAGTATATTCAACTCTAGCAAAACTAATCCAGCTGGAGAAGCACGACATGCATATCTAGTACATAGACATCTTGCTTAAATGATTTCAGCCCAGTAGTTGCCAGTCTTGATGAAGAAGTTATCTGGACACAAGGTTTGCATAATATTGCATTGTTTCATCTCTCACTTGCTAAACACAACTCTCTGCTGTTTGTTAAGCATAGCTGTATCCCCCTTATATTTTAGTGGTACCTGAAACCTCCCATATACTGATGGCTCCTCCAGGAATGAACATCAAAGAAAACATCCGCCTCACTCTTGACATCTGCCTCCTGTAGGTCAAAGGTCTCGAGCCACTGCTTCATTAAGGTTCAGGAAGATGTGTGCCTTTTACTAAGAAGAGCTAAGAGAGAGGAAGTGGTTCTCAAGTTTATACTACAGATTCTTTTACGCATTTTTCTCTCTTAAGGATTATTGTCTTGTTTCTGATCTCTTGACTTTCTGTAAATCGGGAATTTACTTAGTTGATTTATTCCTTGACAGAGAATACTTTGAATTTTGATTTGATAGGCAGTGCTGTAAAACTTTTAGTCCTTTTTCACTCTCATGCTTATGGTTATCAGCCAGGAGTCTTTTTTTTTTTTTTTTTTGCGGTACGCGGGCCTGTCACTGTTGTGGCCTCTCCCGTTGCGGAGCACAGGCTCCGGACGCATAGGCTCAGCGGCCATGGCTCACGGGCCCAGCCGCTCCGCGGCATGTGGGATCTTCCTGGACCGGGGCACAGGCTCCGGACGCGCAGGCTCAGCGGCCATGGCTCACGGGCCCAGCCGCTCCGCGGCACGTGGGATCTTCCCGGACAGGGGCACGAACCTGTGCCCCCTGCATTAGCAGGCGGACTCTCAACCCCTGCGCCACCAGGGAAGCCCTCAGGAGTCTTTTATCATGGTTTCTTTGTTGAATCTGCTTCTTGAATTCCTTGGGAACATGTTCAGTAGTTAAATTTTATTCTTTTTCATCTTCTCCTAGGGAGCATTTTCATCACTGTGGTGGTGGCCTCAGGTCATTATTTGTATGTACAAGATAACTAGTTTTTCATTCTGCTTTCCTTCTCTTACTCTCTTTTGTTGATATCATGATCCCATTAAAAGTATCACCTCTTAAAACGTAGGGTGGTAAGTGATAACTGATGTCCGAAGTACAGTG